ATAGGTTACTCAGGTTTGTACCTTCATTTGGTTTCATCCGGTCGCCAGTTCACAGCTGTATCGTCGCATTCATCTGAAGTAGCCCTTTTCGGAGTCGTGAGTGTCATATTATACGGACTGTTCTGCGGAAGTCGGATCTGCGAACTGCACCGTGGTGCACCTAAAACACTTCTATCGGTAATCATTTTTGTTACACCACATAAAGCCTGTGTCGTCTCTAATTCGAGAGGTTTTGATCCCGCAAATGTCGAACACCACACTAATCGGTAATCAAGTTAGGCCTAAACTTTACTAGGCTGATCGTAAGAGATGTGTGTTCGATGGTGTATTCACCATCCAACAGCATGGGAATGTACCATAATCTAATTCTTAAGAGCGCATTGATTGACGGAAAGTAGACGTAAATTAGGCCCAATACTTGAGCAATGCTCAAACTTCAAATATTGTCACTTCTAATTCTGCGTGATTGGAGCTCATCACCATCTCAGCACTAGTTCGAGGTGCGCTGCGCACTCCAAGCTCACGAAAATGGCTTATGTTATATCATGTATGGGCAACAATAAAAGCTATCTAACCAGAAGCTAGATCACCAAATGGGTAGTATGCCTACGCTCTACCTGTGGGATCCAGGGTAGGCCGATGAGACCCAGTCAAGTTAAAACAGCTGTTCACTGCTTCCTAGCGTTTCACCGAACGTTTTATTTTCTCCATGTGCTACAAAATGTGTCATGGGATCAAATCAGCCATTTTACTGTCCCCGTTGACACTCCCATAAACAACGATCATCTACATAGACAAATGTAAAAACTGGAGTAGCCTCTGGAATGATAAAATATCAGGAAAGCTCAAAGTGTGTTCTCAATTTCTCTTCAGGAGTGTTTTTATTTCTTCCATAGCTCATCAGGTTCTAGGAATGGTGATTTGACTTCCGAAGTTTCATACATTTATTAGCTCGTTTTCTTTTACTTTATTTATATGTTAACTCTTCGTTCTACCAAATCTCGATACGTGACTGTGTTGATCAACAATTGGATAAAAATGGATTAGGTTTATTGATCTTATCTTATATTTCACGTAAAACCATGAAAAGATTATTGCAGATCTCATATATGGTCGCCAGGTGTTTTTTAGCCTTTTTGTCTAAATAATTTCATTTTTGACTAATAATATGGGAGAGGGAGAAAAACATTCCTATTTTCACAGTCTATAGGCATCACTTTGGTCGACTGAAATCCTTAAGTGCAATCTAACGTATGAACAATGTGCCTTTGAATTAACGGACTCAATCCTAAACGGTATTTGGAGAGAATGTGAATACCCAAAGCAGACGTAAACGGTATTTCTATATGATGAAATAAATCTGTTGATGTAATATGCATTGAGAAGCTCCATAATCAAGGAAAACGTAATCCTTTTTTGTTCTAGTTCCACAATTAAAGGATCAACGCTGACTAGAAGTTATCTTTCATAGTATGTTCTTTTCTAATCAGCATTTTGTAATAATTGAATTCATACGGCAGAGTTAAAATCTGGATGAGTAACATTAAATTGAAACTCCTCGCTTTTTTAAATACCCGGTGTCTGATTGGGTGTAGGCTCACATCTGGGTGATTTAATTCTGTCATTAAAGGCTCCAGTCAGGCATAATATTTTAAACCAAATACCCAAACGGTAGGTAAAACCTAATTAAATAGAATGTACACATTGGAAGTTGGTAGAAAATTATTTTTCCCTCTGGAGCTAACAAACCGAGAGAGATTTCAGAACCTTTCTTCACTGAAGACCCCATCTTAAAATAAATTTGAATAATAATTCCAGTGACCCCCTGCGAGAGCCTACTGGTACACTAATGAACCACACAAATGACATGCACAGTACTAATTTCATTACATGTGATTATCTCTTTAAGAAGGGCTTTCCGAATTACATATTATTTGTTTGAAGTGAAAAATTTGGGGTGCAAAATGGTTGCATTTCAGAAACCTCTTTATCATTATTTACTAACCACAGACCAACCCATTAATTTAGGGCTACCTTCTGCCCAATTTAGGTTAATCACGTTGCAGCACTAGTACAGTGTTGGGGCACGCTCCAACATGTTGATTTTTCCGCTCAAAAAAAATTCGAAGTAATAGGCACATCAAAGGTGAACACTAAAATCCTAGAATCACGTGAAAATCAATCGTTCCCACGATAGCTCCTTCGTGGCGTATCTCAGCCTGCCCCGTTACACCGAACAAAAACAGAAGTTAAATATTAGTTCACAGACTTTCAACTCAGAAGGAAGTTAATTTCACTTTGGTTTGCAAGCAAAAGTTATGAGAATGAATCATGTCACGCATACAGAATGTATAATATTCTCAGCCTATTCGCAGAGTCGATATGAGATCCAATTCCAGCATCAGAGACAGTCATGCAAAGCACACGGGAAAGGTCAATCCAAATTTTCTTGAAAACCTGAAGAACAAATTTTTTCATGTGGCCACCTAGCAACATATTGATGAGGCATTCCGGTTGAAAACATGTTCACATATTTTTGATAAAATATCAAAAAACAACTGATACAGTAAAGGTATTGTTACAGAAAATCAACATTAAGAATGCTTTTGGGCAACAGGCAGCGTACAGTCAAAGAGATATTGTGACCATGTTCTTGACGAACTGATGGCATATCAGCTACACATGAAAAATGTTTTGCAAGCTAACCTGAGATTCAATAATACGGACTGATACACAATCGCCATTGTGTGCAATCTACTATCTGTATAACAAAAATGCTTACACTGGCGTTCTTAAACACAATTAACCCATGCATCACCAAATCTGAACCGCTCACACTGTCCTTTTTATAAACGTTCTTTTACAACGGTAAAATCCATCAACCAATCCCTTATTAGAGGATGTTTTCCAGTAGTTCAGTCAAGTTGCTTTTCCGATTCCTTTACATTCCAGATTTGATATCACTCACGAGTTTCAATTTGAAGGCCTATCATCGACCGCATTCACGCATTGTGTGGCCCGCAGAGAGCAGAAGTTGTATCCTTGCGTCAGACCATTAATGGAAATACTGGAAAAGATATGGCAAGCAGACGCAAGAGTGATCATCTTCGTTGGGAATATGTGAGCGCAAAATCGCCTTTTTTGCTGAATACTGTTTACATTAAAACCACCTTATAAGATTTCTACAGACGGTGAACTTTATTAAATATAGACAAAATGAAGCGTGAGCTGAAAATCTAGGAAGCATTGGACATCTGTTACGACTGGGTCGGGTCACCTCAGCGGCGCGAAATCATCGACCCAAGTGAGAGTAAAACCCAGGACCTCATGCATTCACCTGCACACCTCCGTGATCACATGAAAGAAATGATGGATTTTTTCTTTCGACCCATAAGAATTTGGAAAAAGAAGAATTCATTAGACAGATTCCATTCAAAAATGACTTACTGAAACTCCGTTTAATCAATGCATATAGACACAATTGCGTCGTATATGGCAGTTAATTGTTTGCAGTTTGTGCATTCACAAACTCATCGGAACTAATGAAGGGTTTTATTTTCTTGGTGGCGCGCAACAGTCATTCAGTGGAGTGTCCCTCCAACCACTGAATAAATATTATCTAGTATGGTTGGCTAATTTGCCACATGAGATGCATAAACACTCCGAGTACCAGTGGATAGTATTTAGCACTTTAGGGTGGCTCCAGGTACACCTTTCATAGGTTTGCGTGCATATGCCTCCGGGATTTGATGCAAGGTGCCATTCTGGGAATGTGTAGAAAGTGCGTACAGTTTACGCCATTGCGATACCCACTCAGCCATATTCTCTTGCCGAAATTAGAATTAAACATTATTCAGTTAGGACAGTTTTATTGCTCTATTAGTAGAACTTTTGATTTTATCTTCTCGTTATTCTAGAAGTTGGATTTTGTATTCATGTTTTGTTGACCATCGTTATGCAACCAAAATTATTTATTTTGTTTTACCGAAAAATGTAGTAACTGTGGAAATCTACGGAGAGAAGCCATGACATTTTTGTAGTGGCGTCATATAAGCGGTGAATACTTTTGTCTTCTTAGGGATGCGTAATCGTAAACCAAGAGGAAAACTTAGGCCGCCAAAGGAGATAGAACCATACACTGAAGAATATCATACCGTGTCTCGTGACTGAGCGGTTGTGGTTGTACCACGTTTGACGAAGTAATCTGCTATCAGAAAATTTAAGTGGAAATGAAGTGTTTAACAAACGACACTCACTATTTAATTATTCGTGTTGATTCTTACTTCCGAAAAAACACTCCTTTCGGGAATTTTACTCAGCCAACGGGATGGCTTTCTTGTAGTAAACAGATATAGCGAAATTATTAAAATGTCTCTGAATAAACCACTTAAAGGTAGAACCAGTCGGCGTGTTTCTCAATGCACTGTTGTTTGATCAACGCATTAGTTTCTTGTTGTTCAACTTCATTATCGACGACTTAGAGGGGAGGGTGAGCATAAGAAAACATCAGGCAGTTGATTGGGAATTATGTACTCACCTGAATGAGTTTTCTTGAGTGGCAGTGCAATATTCGATCACAAAGTTACCATTTCTGGGAATACTTAACGATATGCATTAGCGTTGTATATGCTGTACAATTTATTTTTCAGTTCGGTTTTGCCAACGGCAATAAGGTCTATTCAAAGAAAGACAATCTCTGTGTGACGATCCCGGTCAATAACCATTTTACTGAAGGAATAAAATTTGACGGCACTACTGACATAAGATAAATAATGTCACTCCATATCTGCTGACATCAGCGTTAAGCTGTTGTTCAGGATATTTTATTTCGTAGTAATCTGTCAAACATGACAGTGTACGCACAAGGTGTGTCTACAGCCATGTCCGACTGTGCACGCACGCACACTCACACACTTTCACACACAGGAAACACCTGATAGTGCATGAACTCCATCAAACGATTCCCTGCCCGCATTTTTCATTTTCGTATTTTCTGTCAGATACGACCTGAACACACTGTTGTACATCGCGGACAGTCTCGATAACACGGAACACTCGCATTTGAAAGCTTTATTCGATGAAGGTTACGTGTGGATTTTCACCCCATCCACAATGAGCTCGTTGACCGTGGCCGATAATCAGGATAAGGCATCAGCTGATAACAATGTGTTACAAGAATTCACCATGTTTCGTCGTATCCCGGGAATGTTTGGTGAGCACATTTGTGATTTGGGCGGTGATAACCACGAAGAAAATCTTGCATACTATATTGTGTGTACGAATGGGAACGATAAATCATTTTTAATTCCATTTGCCAATATGCTTTAAAATTGAGGATGCATATTATGAAATCTGTTCTGCTAAAAACCGCATGATGAATTAACACTTGATTCCAAGTGGTTCGGCGACGTGTTTCTTGTTACTTATGAAACTAAGGTTCATGGTTACTTTACATGTTATGAGTATTCAGCTTTGAGTTTGCAAGTAGTGTTCCCTCATGGACCACCGACCCAAGTATCAGATACACCTAGATATTTGACTACCTCTTCAGTCTTTGGTGGCCTGTCTTTGTTTTTGAGTTGATCTCAATAATAACACATGTCACAGAACAGAAAAACATCATTGTGCACTTTTTAACTGGTTATTTAGAAGTGGTTAAACGCGAAAAAGTTATTTTGCACGGTTTCTTCTTTTTTTATGTGTACACACCTTGACTACTTTGAAAGTCTGAACCTAAATCTTTTTTCTTTGCAGTTATAATGTGCATATTGGAAATTGTGTGGAAAGTATAAGTTTATGCCAAGTATACCGTACGAATGAAATCGAGGTGGCAATCCCAAGTGTCAAGTTTGCTGAAAGAAAGAAAAATATATATCTTGGACTCCCTTTTTGTCCATTAAACCGTTGCTATTTAATCCCAGTCCAGGGGGTTTTGCGTTTGGTGAAGCATTGCTAACCATATCTGTTTAGTGCTTCGTCCTTGTTTCGAATGCAAACGAGGAAATGTTTCCGGGACCGATTCTCAAAACGAGTGTTCGGCATGACTGACTACTGCAATCAACTGTTTCTTCTACCAAAACTCCTTTGCCTAAACATTGGATTATTTTACTGTGTGTTGTCTGATGAGAAAAAGGTAAACCACATCATTGAAGAGCACATACATTATCTTCTTTTTTTGAACTACATAATCATCATTGACTGATAATTATATGTGATTGACTGCCCAGAAGTCAAATACATTTTCTATAGACCTGTCGTCTATCGGGAAATGATGAGTTATCATTCAAACGATTTTTATTTAAACCATTTTTGTTTTATTGAGTATACTCGTACAATTGGTAATAATTTTAAGCTAAAATAAGTTTCACCCTTCCATTTTATTGCACAATACCTGTTTTGGTTCCAATGCAGCGGTGAAAATCGAAAAAGCAAACAAAACTAGTTTCATCTTATAATATAATATTCCTAAAGTTAAACCTACATGTTTCACTTTTGCTTGTAATAAAAACCGTTCTCCCAAAATGAACAAATATGCAATTATTAAGCACGTAACTAATTCAGATCGTACTAAAATTTCGGTTATTGAAGTGCAACAAATAGCGAAATGGATTGTTTCATTTACATTGGGTTGCTCGACTGCCGTTTGTTTCAAGTCGTCTACACGTATATTGGGGGGCAAATTGATAATCTGTGAACAAAACCACTGAAAGCAATAAATCATTTTGATCGTGAATAAATTAATTGATTGACTGTCTGGAGATAGAGGTAGATGAGAATAGATCTTTCCCATGAAATGAGAAAGAAATTTCGTACCTAGTTATTGGACACGCGTAGATCATCATGTGGAATCGGCTGTGCGGTCATCTTCGCAGGTGTGCACGGGCAGGCACGCGCTTCTATTTGTTTGATGACTGGATATTCCGATTGCAAAACATTCAAGCCGGACCAGACCGCAAAACAGATAGAGTCAAGGGTTTTGCCATACCCCATGTTGTGAGTTTTTTTAAAGAGTTCAGGTTTTATTTACCGAAACTAATATTTTAAGTCATTTCGCAAACTGGTTTCATCGCTGCTCCCCATTGAAAATACTGCGTGTAATGTCAAATTCCTAGCAATCACTTGCATGTTCTTGAACCGCTTTATGACGACACCTGTGCAGTGCATTCACGGAAACAATTGTGATTATGAAACGACTTGTGTTCCATGCTTGTCTAGCAGTGGTGGTAGCGTCACCAAATTCGCTCCGTTGAGAACGTGCGTTGTACTCCCACCACAACTGCCTGACTTTACCCACTGCGTGGTAACCGTTTGTTTGACTGCTTTTCCCTTATTGTTCCATCAAGTAGTCAATAAAAGGAAGTAGAAGTGAAAACGAAATAAGAGAAACTGCTTCGAATGCATAAGGATCATGAATGTTATACGAAAAAATGTCTTACTTGATGACTCCAAATTGGTTAAAACTCATTTCTACCCCAAAATGCAATGTATTATCACGCAAGAATAATTATGGTTCTGAAAAGAGAAGTACATTTACATGCAGATATTTGCTCCATTACAAAATCTAAGAACGTATTAAGATTTATACCAGAGCTGGTGACTCACGTGGTATTTTTTGTCCAACTCATACTACGAATCTATTTGTGACAATGCTGTTCGATCATTTGGAGTGTAGAGACTCATACCACGTCAAAAACTACTCCCTTGTTCCCGGTAAAATGATTTTTCTGTTTGGTAGTCAGCGACTTAGTAATTAACAGTTTGAGTTTCCGGAACAAAATGCACTTTTGAAGATTTGGAAACTGGATAACCAAACTATACAAATGGTTTTGATGATGTCAAACCACTGCTGATTTATGTTCCATCTACTGAGTATGCATCACCACATCGGTAAGGTCCTTGATGCATGACCCCAAATAAGAGACATTCTAAGGTTTTTTGTGATGACCGACAGAGAGTGCCTGGTGCCTCTGCATAAGCGAGTTGATTGATCCAAACTTTATACTCTTAAGTGATTGAGCCATTTGCACAAGGTGATGATCGTCTACCGCGTAGCTCAGGGGAAGGGGTTGAAGTCCCGGTTTGAGTCCTGACAGAGACATAAAGAACTACGTACTGCCGAAGAGTGCCAAACAGTACGACACAACTGTCCAGTACTTTTGTTGGTCATCACAAATATATCAATTGCAATTAAATGCAAAACAATCTCATCTGAAGGGGCTTTTGTGAATGCGGCAAGACTTTTTGTCAGTGTTTGCTGTTTGTGTGTTCAACCTTTTCCTTTTGAAACCTTAGTGAACAAATCTTCGTTCGATTCAAATATATTTTGACAATATAATTCGGTTTGCGGTAACTCTTCATACAACGGACACCTATTGGGGTTATTTTCAACTTATTTTCCTTCAATGTATATTGCAAAAAATGTCTCTTAGCTTGCAGGCAATGTTCTGAAAGTGATGTCACACTATTCCAAACTAATCTTTCACTTGTACCAATGGCTATTATTTATTTATGGAAACGAGAATAACAAGCATCCTTATTGGATTTGAACAAAATTGTGTTCTCACATAATTAACTGCTCTCGTTTCTCGGTGAACTAATTAACGGAACAGTTGACAACGTTTATTTCGTTTATCAGGCAAATAACATTGTCCATCTGCTGCCATGATGATGGTTATCTGGCTAGCATTCATCTGTGTGGGTGCACGTATACACACAAACGAGAAACAAAATGCTAAGCAACAATTTATTAATTTGTTTTTTTTGTATGAGCTATCCTAGATGAGTTTTGAAGGCGTAATGTGCCGGTTTCTGTCTGTGATCAATACACAGAAAATAAAAGGAATATCTTTTAAAGAGCAGATGCTCCTGGTCGACATTAATCTGACATTGTTCATGTCTCCTGATCCAAATGGAAGCCGACCATAAATATTTGCAGTCTATCCTTGTCCTGCCCTTTTTATGGTTATCTAAACTGAAACTGCACTTTTTATTGCTATGCAAAAGATTCAATGGTCATCCTGCGGGGTCGGTTACATCGGCCGGAACAGTCGACAGTTAGTTACCCGGATCCAACATCATTATCCCACCTAGGATGAAGGCACCTTAGAACAAATCATAGGAAGCACAATCGTCGGGTATCTGACCAAAACAGGGCACTTGATTGATGTCAAAAGATCATGTATTTTATTTGGACTAATCTACACAGTCAGTCAGCTGAGGCAAATTACGCCCGACAACACCGGAGAGGTGACTATTCTATGCAAAATAACTGGTAACATCAAACAGTCTATATTGTCATGTTCAAGCAGTATAACGCAAAACACCTTTCGGCACATGTAAATATCGGAAATGAATGGTTCATTTGCATTACCAGACGATCACATCTGTATACTACAATCCCACTATGATCTTATTTTGAAGCCAAATATTGCTTGTTGTCGTGCTTTATCAATCTAAAGAACGGATGATAAATATTCGGAGAAACAAACATCTTATCAGAATATTTTAATTTCAAAGAAAAAAGTATAAAAGGATCATTAAAAGACGGTGCTGAATCAGCTATGAAGCTTGATTTCTGGTGACCAAACGTTTCTCAAACTTATTCAGCAAGTAATTTACCACTAATAAACACTTCATAATCAACAATAGCATAATAGCTGTTTTTTATTCGATGCATACGTGAACAAAGTAAGGTTTTGAGCTCGTTACATTTTTCTGGGACTGCTGTGTTAGATATTTGATTTCCAAGAACAATCAATGGTTTCATATGGTTCTCACTGTTCGGAGCGTACACCCGAATGTCGGATCTCCCTCCTCACTCGTAACTTGCCTACATCAATTTTAGAGAGTATTGACAACGTGCACCTATGCTTTATTTAACTATTCATTTTTATTTTCGCTCACCATTGATTTCGCTAATGACCATGGTCATCTGGTTGTAGTGTTAACCATTCTGAAGGCAGGAGGAGATGCAAGACTGTTAGGTACCAGTAAAATAAGAATTGCAAATTTTCTACTTTGACAATTTGGCTCATAAGCTTCCGTACACTGTATTGAAAAGGACTTTCTTGAAATTAGGTGGGGAAAAAGAGTAAAGGTTTTGCACAAGTGTGGGTTTTCCAAAATTAAGAAGACCAGTTAATATGAATGGGAATAAATAAACCATAATTTAGCTATCAAGTACACCAGCTTCAGTCTGGGATAAGTATACCGTCTGATTTGCTTGTACCGCACAGGCAATTCAACCAGACACATGACACTGATGAACTTTCTGGATGAATCGATATTATGTTTGCTATTTGTTCCGCCAACTTTCGCTTTATGGGGTAAGCCTAAACGCACCAGGCACACGGAAAATATTGAAACGTTATCCTTAACAAGCAGCTAGAAAAAAATATAAATTTATATATGGGTGGAGTGCATACGCGAAATGAGGCCCACGTTTCACAACTAATTAGAAAATTGGAATGCATAAATCAAGTCAACATCGACAACAACCGGAATCATTGTACACACTATCTACCTTCGACCTAGACGAGCTTTCTCTGCTTACACCACCAAAACTACAAGACGGCTTCTTTCAAGTGATACAGATAGATACATCACTACTATAAAGCTGATGAGAACTTCAGACAGTTTGATTACAAGGGGAGTAACCACTCGGTATTCAACAACCTGATATTTTTCTTGCTCTAGTAGATACAAAAAGAAATGTCAGTGGTTTTAGTTGCTAACCTATTTGAGCCAAAATGGACACAGCCTTCGGAATAAAAGCATTCAGACGAAAAGTACATTTGTCCAGTAGCAATGCACGAAAAGACCCATGAGACCACTTCGTAATATTTCCCAATACAAATGAATGAAGATAAAAAAGGTTGATTTTACCCCTTTTTATTCGGGAAGTTTTGTACTGTTGATCGTTCCAGTAACTCACAGTCATATACACAAAACAAATCATTTGACAATGTATCACGGATGGCCGTGGACCACTTAGTTAACCAAAAGTAATTTATGGGGCTCGCTTTGCAGCGACAGAAGAAATGCCACAACAAATATTTTTGCAAACTAAAAATCTTTTGATAATCCGATTCGCTGACAGTCATAGGTCGGGCACACACTTATTCATTAAAAAGTTGGCTCACAAGTTCAGCCAAAAATCTGAATATTCATTGATCATCACTATACATATTTTCTGACTGACTTTGCGGAACTCGTTAAAAACCTTCTTAGTAAGACATGGGAAACTTCTCTACAAACGCATATTTTTCTCTTTATTCAACCAGATTATGAAATTTTCAGTAGCCTCAGTGGGATTTGAACTCACGCATGGATGCCACCCAGGTTTCTGTAAAGCACACGCTCTGCCAGCTCAGCTAAGCGGCCGCACCGATAGCAATAATATTAATTGTGTTCAATAGCACATTGGACCTAGTTTCTTCGGAGTTATCATCAAGGCTACATATTGTTTGTTTCGTGCTTTTGAAAGGCATTGGTTTCTATTTTTGAAAACTTTTCCTCGTGTTTTGTTTTGTTTTTGATCTGGCTTAATGTTCGTCTACAGTACCAAAACAACCCAGACTAGCTCGTGTTATGTTTATTTTGTGTTCTCTCTCCGCCTTTATCCTATTGCAGGTTTGGTCTGTTTGAACGATTTGGAACGTCGCAAACAGAGTGCTGAACTGGCCAGGGAAATTTGGCAAAAGTCCATGATCGAACTGGTCTATCAGTTGACACAAATTTACCCACCGGAAACGCCAGTTCAAACGAACACATTAAATGCAGCAACACTGGCCTATTTTAGGCAAATTTTGGAAAAACTGCGACCTGACCGGTTGTGTCACGATTCTGAACATCTCACTTGGCAATGGGGACGGAGAATGTACGAGTGAGTTGAAATGAGCTTGTTTAATACTTCTCTGCACTCGCTATTTTCACGAGACTACGTTAAATAGGGAACATGACAAATAGCCAGTGTCAGAGCTTACTTATGCTTGTTGTTTCGTCATTAATCCGGTCAATAGAATGTCAGTAAATTTAATATTGAATGAGTAGTTACAGAAATCAGAGAAAAAAAGAAATGGATCAGTTATTGTAACATCCACCCCTTGATTCCGCCCGACTACTCTAACGATAACACGTTTTAGTCAGTTTGTGATTCCTGATCATCCGAGATCTATCTAGTATACAAAGGTGTATTCAATTAACACATTTTGATCGATGCGGAATAATTATGCTTCATCTTTCAAATATTTTTTTCAATCCAACTGAATGTGTGCAAATCAGTATCTGTTTTATACGCTCCTTGATCATGCAACGGTGAAATAAGACCAGTTATGAGCAACCCGATCTTTTCAATCGTGCCACAGTGAACATGGGAATTGGCATATGTATGTGCTTCATTATTGTTCATCAGCAAAACCGATGAATTTAATATCAAACCCGCAGTGTTAGTGTGAAGAACTATTTACCACTAAATGTGATTGTTGATTTCCCCTCACGGTTTCTGTGGAACAAGAACTTGGTCGCTCCTTTGATCGAAATGCTTACGAAAAATTATATTTTAGATATTTCACTTGGAAAAGATGAAACCATCGACTTGGATTTCTACCCTTTTTATACGCGTTAATCGTAAGATGATTATTTTTTGAGAGGTTTTATGAAGTTGTAGTAGTATATAATTTTAAAAAGAACAGGAAATCGCCAAATTGTGCGACACATGTCCGAAAGCGTTTCTCGACTGTTACTTACCGCAGAAATAATGGATGCATATCATACGGTACACTGAATCTGTAAACAGAGGTAAGGGAAACTGTTTAACAGCGCAAATAAAACACAACAAACTTCTTTCTGTTGAAACAAAGGGATTTTCATCGACTGGTCGTTATCGCCACTGAAAGTCGTGGTAACTGTAAGCATCCAGCTAAATGAATGAGAACACAAAAAGTAGGCGAACATATTTGTCCCGGAGAATTCCTTTTCAAGCTTTTACACTCATATTTATGTGAAACAATTGCAGTGGGTCAAATGGATCGATGGATGAGTCATGTGTGGTTTAGTGAGTGAGAGCTAATTAAAGTGTTGCGCGATCGAAGATCGCAGGCTTTTCAGCTCATGCAATGACGTAACAGTTTCAAAATTGTCAATCATTGCCTTCTTAAGCCACAACGTATACCAAAAACATCGATGAAAGAACCATTGCTCTCCTCCGCCAAATCAAACTGCTCGGTTATCTTCACACGCAGGACAGGGAGGCATTTGCATCATCAAATAGCTGAATACATCCCGTTGTAGCTCGAGAAAGCGATGGACGATAAGTTTGAAACCGTTACGTCATCGAACGAGAGAAAAGACTTACATCTTCGACAACACAACACCTATTCGAACAAAAAGGTTTAGTCACGCAAACTGATACTTTGTTTCGATTACGTAGCCATAATTCCTTATGGTAATTCACGGTCATGTAAACGAGACATTTTATTTTCCCTTAACGAGAGGAGTTTGAGAGCTTGGATCAATTTTTGTACGCGCAATCCAGGCTGAATGAGTTGATTGCTAATAGCTACATATATATATATATAGCTCTTTGGGTGTCTACTCAGATGAACATCCAGAACCAAAAGGTAATCATTCTCCTCTGGTTCATATGTGTAGTTAATCAATGAATGTACTGCGCTGAATTCCAGCTTATCATGACCATGATATTCTTTTTAGCCACTCAAAAGATATCATTTGCCTAACGTTCACATCGTTCGAAACAACTAACGGTCGTGGATAACGAACTTGTCTCTAACTTGGTCTTGAAGATGTCGACAAGAACAAGCACAAGGAGTTAATTCCTGGTGAAACTGTCAGTTTGGCAGCAGAATTTTTTAATCAACGAAAATTGTACAGTTCTTCTGAATTTCAGTTTAAATATTTGCGATGTATGACTAGAAGACTCATGAAATTCATTTATGTGTTGCTAAATCGACAAAATATTAAATATCTATAACAAGGGAATATTTGCAAAAAGAGAAACAACATTCAAAGAGAACATCACTGATCTTTATTGTTCGCATTTTTGGTTAGTTCAATAAACTAGAAAGATTTTTCACAGTACATTCGTGGTGACTCCTTGACGAAGGGATTCCAAACATCTAGTTAACCAACGGGCAGTTGGGTGGTGAGTTGACTTAGTCTTAGAGTTAACGCGACTCTTTTTGTATTTTGGGTAGACTATAGGAGCGGATTAATTTTTTTTTTAATAACACACCTTACTGTGATGAACAACATGCGGGAAACGCCATATAGTCACCAGGACCTGCTGTTCATTGATGCAAACTGGTAAGCCAATCCCTGGTACTTGGATTGAAGAACCACATAAGGCCCCGATAGCTTAGGCGTGATATTGGACCGGACGACAGCAAAGCTGCCTACCATCAAAATTGGGTGGGGTGGCGTTGGCGAGGCTTGAACCTCGGATCAAAGCATCCCGGTGGCAGCGACAAAACCACTGCGCCATCAACATGTAACAAATTTGAGGCCTTCAAACAAACAGGATAACAATTGGTCTTGATCTTTAAGCCACCTACGTCTATCAATGATTTGCTTTTCCGGCTTAAGAGGTGTACAAAGTAACCCTGGAATCCTGTTAAGCAAATCCTTTTGGTTGTGGATCATGTCAAATATGGATTGATAATGATACAACTTTTATGGGATTAATCAAAGTTCACCTGAAATTTAAACGAGGAGCAAAGTACAAACCACGGAAGTTGAATTTGTAGTGACCTTTGAAACTATGTGGATCCGACTGACGGATCCCTAGCAAATATATTTATCTAATTCGACTGAGATGACGCACGGAACTATAATGTGTTTCACCACAGATTGTGCATGCCCGTGCAATGAAATAATAATTAATAAATCAAACGTTATCCATACACAAGGTCAAATAAGAAATACGAGTTCACTTTAGTTAGTTTCAGTCTCTCTACGAGAGTTCACATGACACACAGAGTACCCCGGTTGACATGCAAAATCACAGGCAAAAATTGTTTGAATAATTAAACCAATTTCATGTGGACATTTAATCGATGCTCCGTAAACCATACGAAAAACATCGGCCTGTGTTGGGTGCCTGATTCATCGCATATAATCATCGAAGGCCTTGTTTACGTTCATCCTGTTTGCGTGCGCTGATTCACAACCCAGTCATTAGTTTTCCGGGATTAGAACTGAATGGCTGTCCTTCCAAGATCACAGTATGGAGAAAATCAGTCAGCCAAACAGCAGAATTTTTTGGTCGCCACAAAAATTTTATCACAGATACAGTGTTAAACATTGAAAACAGTTTGGGACCCTATCGCTCAGGTCATTGTCATATGGCCCACTAACTTCTCAGAAGTGAAAAGATTCGGTTTTTCTGTTCCCTGTAGAACGACGTGAGCCTGACCGGATCGAACTTGTATCAGAAAGTTGTCTGATGCTGTCTTCAAACAGCTATTGTGAAAATAAAGGATATTCTGCTCCAACTGATTTCAACTGGTTTCAAAGTGAACAGAGATTTAGGAGGAAAAATCGGGGTGGAAGAGAGACTGGTATTATGAAAGGTCATTGTACGGACGTGTTGTTCAAACCCACATCAGATTGATGAATAAAAAAATACGAAAACACGGATTGCAGTGTGTACAACTACTTGTAGGCAAATTTGGTCAGAATCGGCCACAATCATGATAAAGTTGGTGGAAAAACTTTCCAAAATGAAAGTTATGTGGTAGTAATCAAAGGATCACAAAACGTAACCATAAACACTTCTTTGTCTATAAAAATCACAAAAAACAGAAAACATTTTTGTTAACGGTATCACGTCCAACGTTGGAACGGATGTCTTTGAAGAAATTGTGCGTCTTGCTCATAATGTTAGATCCGTATAGGAATGTTTGGGTTAGCCAGGACGAGAGAAAACCAAAACAACAACCAAATTGTTGTTTTCGGGTTTTCTATCGTTGTGGCTAATCCAAACATTCCCATAAGGATCTAAATTTGTTAACATTAATCATATGAATGTGGATCGGTGTAATAGATGTGCTGAGAATCAGATTTTCTAAAGGGTTGTTTATCGTTCACTAACGTCTGCTGAATAAACCACATTCAATTGTGTCGAAAAAGTTAATCATTACCAGTAAGCTTGACTGTCAGGTAGAAGCCAGTAGTCTTTAAAAACCGGTTTTGTTATACCACGCAAATCAGAATGATTGACATCAATTTCGTGGCGAAATCAAATGCTTCGTTCCTTACATACTGTCCCACCGCATTCTTTTGTTTCAGTATAATGCGCTCCCTGACGTTCACATTCAACAATGAAACAATCAGTTTTCTGCCAAACGGTGGTCTCAACACTTCCGAGTTGTATGTTTACAATTCACAGATTTCAAACGGACAAATGAAGTGGCACAAAGTAAGGGTTCTGTTTCTGTTCATGTTCGGATAGTTTTTGTTCATGGCTTCTCGTTTTTTCAGCACGGGCCACAATAAACTAACCATTTGGATTAAGAGGAAGCAAACTTTGACAAACCCGCACCAAACACTGTTTTAGAACGTGAATCTTGGCAATATAAACTGTGGGGTGCAAAAGAAATCATCTCTTTCCTCATTTTAATGCTCTGAAAGATGGTTTCTATGACACTAAAGTACTGAGTTCAAATATCTCTGTTGTTCCCAAAACTCGAAAAATACGCCATTTCGTTTGAAATCCAACAAAATGATTAATATATCTCAAGCATTTGTACCAATCATGCTCCGAAAATTAATCAAACTAAGATACAGGCAAACAACAAACATTGATCTAAACGGTTTGCCTTAGGAGGCTTATACTCCACATGTGGAATAGAACCAATGAACCACTTTCACGCATTACTTTAAAACTAAGAATTGGTCAACTGAATATGCTTAGAGGTTATATAAAACGTGATTTCCGTCACACGCGCCTCCTACCGGCTTAGCATATCATCGCCACAAAAGCTATGGGATACCCAAATGCATATCGCCTCATCGCACGGACAGATTACACACTGTGTGTTGTAAAAATCACTCGTAATTTAACTAATATTGACAAATTTATGGGTGCAATCCTTTCAGGTATCTGGTTTGGTCGACATCCTCGGGAATTTCGGAAATGGCCTTCAATATAAAAATATAAAAATTACTCCTCCCTGATTGAGAACTGCACCCAACTTCATTCCCTGCACACTTTACTCGAAAATAGTCACGGTTAATTCTGTTTTTTTCTGGTTCGAAAACTTTAGCTGAACCGTTGAGTGACTCACCCGGAAGTGAACCACTGAGGAATGGGGACACAGCGTTGGACAGCATACGACTATAGAAGAAGTTTATTCATCGCCCGCTGGAACCTTCAATTTACAGAACACCCACGAACGGACACTGTTTTGTAAACAATCTGCTGTAACCGTAATGCTAGACTAAAGGATTCGTAATTTTGAGCTTTAGTATATTTCAACAACAAGCCAGCTTTGGCTGTGTTATTAATTACCAAAAGTATTTAATAGGCTTTTGATAAAAAACGAGTTTAATGGATGAAATCAACATAACATGCGACTTTTTTCAATTTCTCTCAATAATGAAATTTAACGTCAATTTGCACTTTTAATCTAGTAAATCGAAATATTTTTACATCCAAGTCCTTATGTTATCATTAGAAATTTCATCACATATAAATGCTTTCTAACTGGTGCGGACTAAACGATCTCCAAGGCGTAAAACCCACACTCAGAAACATTAAACGTTTCAAATGTTTTTAAACTACCAAAAGGGCTTTCCGAAAATTTGCCGTCTAAATTGTTTGAATGATTCGTATAAAATGGTGACCATCAATCGTTTAGTTCAGGGGGTTAGGATTTTGATTCAACTTTAAGATTCGAGTCCTGACAGGGACCCAAAATGTTCGCAATACCGACGAGCTCCAACAGTATAAAACAGCTGTCCAGCGCTCCGTGCTGGTCATCTTAAAGACTTCTATCGCATTTAAATGCCGATAGTACTTAGGTTCAATCGGTCGATCATTCATCAGATTCACCCTCAGAGTGTTAAGCGCAAGTAGTCCCGCATTGGTTTTAAACTGATCCACACAGTGAGTGCTTCATGGAGAACAGTATTGCGACATCGGTTGTTGGAATCCAATCAGTAGATAGGGACCGAATGTGTGGCTTATCTCTCAGTAACAACAAGGGAAGACACTTTGCCCGAGATTTCACGGATATTTTTCTTCACATTGCATCCAGATCGTCTGTTTTGAATTCCACTTGACAGAATGTCCTCTGTATTCACAGACGTCTTTGGCTACTCTGTTCTGCATCTAAAACCGATTCGTTTGCATTTGACTCTACCTAAGTAAGGTCAAAGCTTACGTTGTTGCAGGAATGATTTTATTTACTCAGATTGATTTCAGAAATAGGTTTTTGAAGTTCCCGTTGTTTGAAAGACATTCTGAGGTAAACGGGTCGAAACACTCCAATGTCAATACATTTTAGGGTTTATTAATTGAAACATACCTATTTATTTTGAAATTTCTCTACCCACCCCGTGTTAGTAATTGTCTGCTTTATATTTTATATTGTTTTAATTCAATGGAGTTATATCGATATGTTATATATTAAAAGACATTCAGCATATATATACAGGCAATATACTTCATTTGAGGACGTATACAACAAAGCATTGGATATTAAGATCGTTACAATTTTTTTGTTTGTTACCCAAACGATGAATACATCAAATTATTCAAAATTAAGTGAACACTAGTGTTTCTTTTATTCTGCTAGAACTAATTTTGTGCTGAACATAGTTTAACGGTGTACAAACGACTAACTGAAAGTTTCCGTTTGATCGACAGTTTACTGAACCCTGTAAATGACAAGCACGGAAATGTAGAAAAACACTGGTTATCCTCAGCCTTCTCTTTCTATGAATCTGGCATTCCCGATTTTCAAAGTATAGTAAGATCCACCTCAAAGACCAGATCGATTACATTTTGAATAATCTTTTGGTTGCACTCTTTATTAACCCGGCAGAGATTCACTATACAAGACAGATGCTCTACGTCATCCACTCTTTTATGTCACCAATCGAAACATTCTGTGGTGACGTCATGCAGAAAAACAAAACCCAATCGATCACACTGAATTCGGAAAGCATGGGTGGTACGCTGATGCAAAACACACATTACAAAATGCGCCCCCTCAACCTAGGTTGTTTGGCCGTCCATTCTAAAAGTCTGAAAGTCGCCGGAACTACCGATCCGACCGATTGGTTTACCAGATAGACAGTCATTAGTCACTCCGCTCTCGGCTGGACAAAGTTTCATTAACGGCCAGCGTTATTGACCCGTTACTAACGGACCGTTGGACGTGGAGCTGCATTAATTTCTGCTATTATCCGAGAGCGGTCAACAAGACGCTGTCTAGATTATGAATACTTTTCCCTTTCTGTACACGTATACGCAGCTGTGGAAAGGTGATAACTGAGCTAAGGATTTTCGGGGAAAGTTGGCAATTCAGATAATACTGCTTAATTAATTGGCCCGTCATTATCATTTGCTTTAAAGCTGTTTTACCATAGACGTTTTTTTGGTTTTTAAGTCCCCACAGCTTTTTAGCATTATTCCTTTTTTGTCGTTAGTTGATATTCTGCGATTGCATATGTGAAACTAAGTACGTAGGGGTCACAATTTTATCTGATCCATTAATCCGGCCTAATTGAAGCAATTGTTATACAAACAATGCAACAAAAAGACTCATTATTCAGCTTTTGAGACCATTAAACAACACCAACTGGGTATGACTCCCTCTGTCTAGTTTAGAAACACAATCGGAAGTCTTTTTAGCAATTATCCTATCAGATTATTCATATTCACTTCGTTTCTTCTACAAGGCTTGCCAAGTTTAGCCAGTAATGCGTAAACTAAAACGATGGTACCTAATATTTCAATAACAAAAATACAGCGAACGAAGTTGTTTTCACAAATTCTCCTTCGAGCATTTATGGTTGTGTATGTACAAGTTGAAAATAGATGTGATTAGTTCATTAAAGTTAAATGGAAAAGAACAACGCTGTCTGTCGAGTTCTATAGCCGTACATGGGGAAACGCTTGAAAGGGAACTAAGATCAAATCTGGAAATTTCCGATGTCATGTCTTTAGGTGCAGCGTGTCACGTGACGTTACCTCAATGCGACATTATTGAGGTCATGACTCGCTTCGTAGCGCAGACTGGAGCGGGGCTAAGGCAAATGGATTGCGGCAACCAGTTTTTTTATGCATAATACTGGGTTTAAGATTCTGCTTGTTACTGCTTCTACTGTTGACAAGAGACGTAGTCGAACGTACTTCGACTTATTTTGGGGCATTCTGTAGACCACTTCAAGAATAAAATTGTACGTTTGGTTTCCGGTGTTAGCGAATTGATCTACGATCGCATTGGTAATTATTTTCTTGCATCCCGAATTATGTTCTCTGATCCTTGATGAAAAGTGTTTCATCATTTACACTGTATCACTTGCCGAACATTTGCAAGTGAAAGCATATGTATTCATGGACGAGGAGAGGATGGACCGCTTATCCTTGAGGTTTGTGCAACGTTTGACCAGCTTTCACACCTCATACTTAAAAAAAGGATGGATACGTTTGTGTGCTTGTTCCTTCAAACGTATTCTTAGTAGATCCCTACTCAAATCTCCTTTGAATGGGAGCTGCCAGAATAGTTCTTTATTTTTGTATGGGCTTTACCAAAATTTTCCTCACAATGAAATAATCCGGGTACCCATTATACATGAATGAATATTCATTTTTGCTTAGCTTTTCCTCCCATTGATCCTGAAGCAGATCAATCAATATTAATAAAGACCAGATACTGAATTTAGTATCGTTTGAGTTTTATTGGGACGAAACTTTCGACAAGAACGTATTGACCGTTCGAAATTGGTTTTCAAAAACATCAACGGCATCTATTTCCGTTGGGGTCTTTATGAGGTTGGCGTCGAGGAGTTGAAACGTATCGTGATCCTCTGTTGCAGTCGCAAAAGTGATTGACAGATAAGCTCGATTGAAATTGCCCAACATTATGCTCGGAATGGATAAAAAATGGTCAACATAATGCAGTATGGAAAGAGTTGATGAACGATGTCATATACTTCGTTGAATTTCAGTTTAGATAAAAATACATCTATCAGAGGCGGGTAAAGTGGGGAATCCATGGCCCTACTATCCGTCTGTCGGTAAATTTTACAATTAAAAAAATTGTGTAGCAAGTGTACATTGTATTAATGATTCCTCCGGGTCTTCAGATGGAATTCCAATTTGCAACTTTTCACTATCCAAATCATCTCTAAAAGGGAAACCCTTGTAATAAGTGAATACTAATACTGCGAGCGCAGTATAAGGACTTTATTTGATACTCTTTATTCGAAGTATTTACTCTTAGCAAACAATATGATGCTAAATTCTTTTCATGTAAACCTCTGCCATTGTGAAAGTGGTTAATTCACCATGGGAAACGATATTGAACAGTAGTCACAATCCGAAGCATGCAGCTTCAAAACGTATACTAAAGCACGGTTTCAACTGCTGATAGTGTCATCTCTGGAAATGGTTATATTTCAGCTAGATCATGTTTTATGCTGGATCGTTGCAGTGACTGCAGTGACTAATATGAATTTCTTAAGTGACCTGGGTACATGAGGCTGCGGGTTCACCAAGAAAGGCATATTTATTCGCAGAATATACTAGTTATCCAAAACTAAGATTTGAAATCACGCCTCTTCATGGTAAATTGTGGAAGTAGATTTATGTGTTGTCGAGTAAGCGTTTGTTTTGGTTTCGTAAAAAGTTGTCTTCAACCCAAGAAGCTCAATCTGTCTTTTGAATCATAACTGAATTTCGGTTAATTTTACTTCTTTGTACTTGCCACTACTTTTTCACAAAATATTCCTTCCGTCATATCAGTTGTATTACCATTGTAGTTGATGATAACTAAGTTGTGTTGACCTGCAGACATTTTCGTCCGGAGTCAGTGTGAAACTGTAGGACAAATTTTGTCAGAAAATTAAATCGCCTCTGCAGAAGAAACTCTGGCATCTTTTATGGGATTCGAATTCCTCTCATCAGGATCCCTCAAGCATCTGGGGTTTCATTTGTTTATTAGTTCAGGACAGCGTTTACATTAATGAAGTTCACCAAATCGAAATCAGCCCAATTTGACGCTATTTCTCCAATCACCTTGAACTTAAATCGCCAACACTAACAAAAGAATAAAATGCTCATCAAGCATATGTTGCATGTAGACTCAAAAGTGAATTGATTATCGTTTATTCGTATAGGCGTGCCCAAATGTACATCGATGGCTTCTGAGAAAATACAGTTTTATTCATAACCGATTAGAAATGAATGTAGATTCGTTGTCGAACGGAATATGCACACAGCGTAAAGATTAGCTAGTTGGACTATTTCATTTTCTCTTTTTACGTCAAATTATATGTTTCGAGTAAATGATCCTGAATGCTTCCTATATTTTACTTAAAACGATAGCAACACAAAACTATTGAACATAAAATTTGAAGACTAAAGACGAACTTTGGAACACAAGATTGGTTCACACTTCGCATTTAAGCAAAGTATGTGCATGAAAATCAATAAGAAGTTTGATGCGCAAATTTGGTTAACACCTGTATTGTATATGTTTCATTCTCTCCAGACCCAACATTTCTGTTGGTGTTTTGGTATTTACTCCGACCTCGTGTCGGAGAATTCTATCCCAATTCTATCCGCATCCAGTAATAAAAAGTCCATATTCGCTGGAGTTCCTTGCAGTTCCTTTTTGTATAATCCAGTCATCCGTTCGGGCTGAACTATTTTCACCTCGAGTGGCAAAGAAAAAGATTGTTGCAGTTTATGTTTAGGAAGTAGACCATATATTTTCTGATGCTTTTTCTGCAGTATGCACCATGTTGAGATGCAGCGAAATCGTCTTCAACATAGATCGTGCAGTGTTGCAATTTGGTCTTTTCTTTTGAAATTGATCTCGGGAAAGACTTGCTCCATATATTTTCTATTGTTCCTGTAGGTTTCGCAGGTACTTTTAGGCAATTGAAAGAACAACACTGTGAGTTAGAGATTTCTTTTCCGTCGCCAAGCCTTTCATAGAAAACATGTAAAAAGGTTTTTCTCTATGTTTAAGGGGTTCCTCAATTGCACATGGGAAGATGCTGATGACGGAAATGGTCAGTACGAGTCATCAACAACGGTTAAAATCTCATACAAATTCGTGTATCTAAACTGTTTCTAATTTCTGGAATAGTCAAAATAAATTTACACAGTATTTCTATGGATGAAGGGTTACGCAGCATATTGGCCCTTTCTTAATGAAAAAATATCAAAACTAAGCCACTTTCGGCACGTTTTTTTCACATCAGTAGAATGATACTTTTAGATGAAGCCTCTAGAAAACAAACAACAATCAAATTCTGCATAATATGAAATTGAAAACGCCTAAGTAATTCGCCACACCTGATCAGTTGTAATTTTTTTCTTTCCCGTGTACTGGTTTTCACAACATCACAATCTATAATTACTATTTCATGAAACAGAAATAAAGTAACATACGCCCCAGTTCATGCAAGACCCACTTTGTGCTTCACAAAATAACTGAGATAGCGAAAATTCTTGAATAGCACTCCTCTTCAAAACTTTCTCAGATGTTTCACTGAACAGGGTTTGGGGCTCGTCAGATATTACACTGGCATGTAGAAGCACTTATGTTCCTTATTAATGAAGGCAACAACTTCAGTCAATACACGCCTCTCTCTCGCCTTCAACCTCCACCACCACGAATTGGTGGTTCTGCGTGCGCTCTTGTGTTTTGCAATCACTTAAGCTGGGTGAATTCACACGTTTCAAGTTTAATGCATTTCGTTGATTGTTGTCAATGATTCGGACTAATGGGTTACATACTCTAGTATATTAAACACTAACACTAGTAGTACCATAAACAATAACAACTTGTATGCAAACACACTTTCCTATCATTCACCATTTGTGTATGTGGATGTTTACCGAACAATAATGTGAATGTTTACGTTCAGCTGGAAGGGCGATATATATATATACAGCAAGGTTCAGGACGGTTGTGAACTCATTTTGATTGTTGACAACGTGAAATGTGACTTTCGGAACCTGAAATATGTCTATTGGTAAATTGCTGAAGATTAACCATTTGTGGGCAAAAATCCCTTTTTATCAAAATGACAAACCAATACCTTTGTATTTCCCATGGTATATACTGAGCATTTTATCTGCAAACAATTATTTTGAGAGATAAGTTTCACATTGAACAATTCCAATGCCCTTTATCGTGCGACGGGCAATCCGTAAACATCAACTTCATGCAAATTGTTAGGACAGTAAAGCAGTCATCACTGCGTGAAACGTATGCGAGACATCAAGCGCAAAAAATGCCTTCTTGGGAAAATTGAAGCATTTATTTCCCGAAATTAACTTGAACAAATAACTCGTAGTGTTGTGTTCTTTGTTCAAATCCTCCTTCGGTAGAACTAACCAAGAGTCATTTGGTATTGTATGACTGATCTAATTAGCGGCTGTGCAACCCTTCAAACTAAGTATCTAAGATATGGTATTAGCGATACGAGCAGAATACTAAACTTTTAAATAAATCTGACACATTTTGTTTCCTTTGACAAAAGATCACCTGTATTTAGTAGTCACATTCTTTGAGGTACAAATCCTCCTCAGATTGACACAAGAATCCGTTACACTGCTGCTTTATGCACGTCAGCTTGTTTTACTATTAGTTTTCAATGAATGACTGCTTTTATGCGTGATCAACTGGCAGCTGAGGTATTCCTATTGGCTGCGCAAGTTATACCATCTTTGTTCTTCAAAATGTGAGTGTTGATCGCGCAACTGGATCCGTCGTATGTGATTCCTTTGTTGCCTAGAAAATACTTGCCATTTCTTTTAGTAAATTTCAGTTTCATCTTTTTCACACGCTTTGGATGGTTGGGATATTTCTGCGGTGGTTAGGATCATCCAATATCACCAAAGAGAATGTGCAGTTGAATCCATCATTTCGATCTATTTTGAATATTACATAATATGTCGTATGGTAGCTTTGGATGATTGCAGTCTACTTCCTGATTCAAATTATTGTATGAAAGTATATTCAATGAACAAAAAAGTAATAATTTTTGGTTTTCAAATGGACAATTTATAAATGAAAACGCTTGTCAATGACGATTTCAATCATATTCAGCTAAACTGTACTGCACGTTTTTCGGTAAGAATCAAGTATGCCTGGAAGAACCATGCACGTTTCAGACTACTAGACCTTCTCATGATACACAACCGGATGGGAACAACTTTGGAGTGCTTTCTAGCTTTTCAGGTCAGAATTACTCGTCTCTTCACACAATCAAGTTAACCACAAAGGAAACAGCTTTGTTCATTCATGTCCCAAACAAAAGAAGAACGGAAGCCTTACAAACACAATCAGCGTAATTTCATCATAGCGAAGCTCTCAGTAGGCCAGAATACATCCGTGGATGCAAATTTATGCATACCCAAAAATGAATAAAGTCACTTGAAGCACGTAAATTACAACTCCCGGGTAATCGAAGTGGTTCGGCTTTTGTAGATCCTTAACAGCTACAAAATGCATTTTATGGTGCATATTTCATTGTTGTATGTTAAAAAGCAACTAATTTCATTTGAGCATTGGCTGTTTTCGCAATGCAAATGACAATATACTTTTGGAAGCAATAACAGTTTTATTTTTAACCATGTAGTAATTGAAGCTTCCCGGCCTCTGTGATCAAACAAATAAGATATTTGTTCCGCGTGCATCTTAATAAATACCCGGACATGGTTCCTCTCTACTTAGCTATGCAATGATTAACATGAGATGAATAATGAGAATCTGTTTGGCAATTAACTGTAATACCAATCACGAGCATACTCACGACATTTTCCTGTCAAGACTCGTTTAAATGTCGACAATCGCAGCAAACAAAAAGCATAGCCTGAAATATTGATCTATGCAGTCGCAATTTCTTCATTGTACCATTATAAGGAGAAAAAAGAGACTTGATCGTTCTGTTCTCTGTGTTCATCATTTTTTGATTCCCGCAGGTTGGAACGTGGTCTATGAAAAGCAAATGGCATCGTAGCAAGTCTCGTTTGCGTATCGACGGAGTTACTTGGCCCGGTGGTGCAAATTCACCGCCCAAAGGTCGTCCTAGTAAATTCAAACTGCGCGTTGTGACGATCAAAGAAAGACCATTTGTCATTTATAATCGACAGCAGGTGAGCTGAAGGGATTTTGTCCCATATCAAGTGTCAGAAGACTTGCGCGCTATCGCAGGCACTAAGAACAGAGAGTGTTATAATAATGTGAACACATTTATCTTTTCTTCGATGTTAGGAATATTCCTTCGTTCCCCCCCCCCCATATAGCGTACTGCATGCTGATATTCCTAAGACTGTGAAAACTCTATATCAGCAGTCATAGAAAACAGAGATTTCGAAAAGGCATCAGAGAACGGGATTGAACTGCGACTCAACACATTAACCGCTAGAAAAACGCCCGCAACAAGTGGCAGCAAAGCCCATTGAGAAAACAATTCAAACAATGGGTTTTCAATAAAAGGAGTGTATACCACTTTCACTCCAATTTCGATTTATCTCGTTCCCTTAAGCCTGTGAACTTAACCAGTTTAAATAAGCATAAACTCCGTCTACGGATCATTATTTTGAATCCCAAAGTTGCAGCCCAACCTGAAAACATCCTTACTTTCCATGCAAAACACTGATTAATTATGTAACTCCTCGGTTTTCAGGTTGCACTTGCTCCGCATTTTAGATATTTCCTCATTAGTCACCACATCTTCCAGGTTCCCTCTCCTGAGATAACAGGTTGGGATGGAAGTCTCTATAGAACCACGTCGTAGTCGGAAAGACTAGTGCGATAACAAGCAAGATGAAGTGTTCGCAAAAAGGGCAAAGATGGACTGCGCCTTATGGTGCATATACAAACAAAAATCTGGACGACCAACTGAGGCTCGGGTGCGTATAATGACTTGGTTTTACGTCTTTGATACCGGCTCGTTTTACCGATATTTCAAACTATTCACACAGCTGAAGCTTCTAAATAAGATCACGTTAGCTGTCCTAGTACAAGCATCATTTGCTCTGAACAAGACGGAATTCATTATAGGATTGCTCAGTAGTATGTTGGTGACTATCCGCTATTACTATGCTAACTTAAACTATTCTCACAAACAACCTCACAAACAACTACAGGTGTATTGTTATATAGAAAATAAACCGAAGAAAGCAAACCACGCAATAGCCGACATGGACAGTCACGTTTCTGTGGACCGTTGAAACTATACTGGGCTTTTACTTACAACAATGAATTTAAACTATTGATTACTTTATGACATAACCTGAGTGGTTACAGTATAACAGAATACCATTTCTTCAGAACTACGTTTGCGGCATTGATTCAGCATTGCATCTCCTCTTGAAGGATACTGGCGTTTTAACTTCGGTGCATCAATGAAGTCTGTGTTTACAACATCATTTCATGTGGAACGTGAAGTGTGCGCGTACAAACACGTTATTAGGCAAAGGAACATTTGGTGTGAAAGGGAAATGTTGTTCAGTAGTTTCAATTCACCACTTCTTCAAACTATCTGATTCAGTTATGCATGTTTTTGCATTAGGAATATTCTTACTGGCAACGCCTAGTAATGAGGAGTAATTTCGTTCCAACTAAGCCCGAGTGATGACATATTAAAGATTATTGCAAGTAATCGTCCGATCCGTTGATTGGTTTCACCTCACCAATTGCTGTGCTTTTGTGAGCCCTCCAAAGCACCATATCGATCTGGCCGCAACAGCATAAAAATAACTGTCTGGTACTCTTTGCATTCGATCGGAATTTGGTTTGCGTGGCATCTACGTATAGATATTTGTTTCAACGTGCTTTTACACCAACAAATGGAGCAAGTAAAACATGTATTATTTCGGCTGTTTGTGTGGACGAATCAGACTCGACATTTCGTCTGCATTCGGACCGTACGCGTTTTATTGTATACAGGTCTAACATTTGCCTTTGTGTGATTCAGATTTCTACGTGAGCCTAACGCGAGATCCAAGAGTGGAACGAACTTGGAGCCGCAATCATTTTACTAGATTAAATGGAATATGTTCAGTAACCCAATAGGAGAATACTGATGAAGCATGGAAGCTTTTGTTTGCAACATCTCTATATCGTTCTGGTTAGATTCAAAGTTGGTGCACTCGTAAAACGGTTTTTGACAACAACAGAAGCATTTTCTTATAATTTGTTTACCGAAGCATAAATATTCAGATTTTATTTGAGAAAAACAGAAAACTAGAAACAGCACAAAGCTGTACCCATTTCAGAACATTCAAATATTAATGCACATTTTTTTCCAACTAATGAAGATTTTCACTCGTAACTGAGAGAATAACGAAACATACTCCTTTCGCCGTGGCTAAAGTTCAAAGAAACGTAAATAGCTTCTTTTCTTTGAAGACAACTTGTTTGATTCCACATGCTCCGATGAGATCACAAACGCAGGTTGATGTGATTCAAGTAGCTTAATCTTTGGTTTCAGTGAAGGGAATAGAGCAAGTGAAATCCCAATCTTCTCTATTGTCTAACGGGAGATAGCAGACAACAATCTTTTGGTCCGTTTCCGTGGTCCTATCGATTGGTGTTTGTGGGCTGTACAGATTGTTTGTACACAAACGGGATGAACTACCGGATGTTGATCGTCTCTGAATTGGAATTGGTATGAGCATGTAAAACTGGGAATGATTGACTGACAGAAAAGACCAACTTCGAGTTGATTTTGAGCAGTTTAACATGTTATAGAACAAGTCTTAATTGTAAACAAAGAACGTTTTGAATGGGTTGCGGCAAACAGCCTCACTCGAACGTCTCATTGAACGACTGCACAACGCCGTCAATTTATCTTCGTTTGAAATGATGTTAATCAGGATTCTCGCAATGTTCACCATAAATATAAATCACTTTCTGGGGGTGATTAAAATATGAAATTGTTCGTTTGTAATTAGGATGATGTTTCTCAAATCACTAATATGGATAATAACGAATACTTGGTCAATACTATCGTGGACTCAGTGAATCACAGCTCAAACTAAAAGCCCAAGAAGCCCTACTGGTGAACTGCTTCTATCTGGTTATGTCTCCTCAGTGGTGCTAATTCATCGACTTAACTAATAATGGAACCTGGAACTTGCGGGTAGAACTCAGGCATACTAGCTCTATGACTACCGGGCAGCTGAGTAGTCCGTTTTTCATTTTACCTATATACGGTATACGGTATCTTTGAGAGCTTCTCATTAGATTAACAAATACATGATCTATTTTCAGAAAAAGCCGGGCAGGAAACATGATATAGAAAATTACGATTGTTAAATAGCAGTTACGGGGTTTAACAATTTGACATCCGCTGAAATGTAGGAGTGTCCCTATACTGACAGACCATCACAAAAATTGATTGTTCAAAAAGCATTTTATAGTGCTTCTTCGGGGGGTTGGAAATAAGATAATGGTTTTGAATTTCAAAACGAAGAACCTTATTTGCACAAATCATAAAACGGTTTGAGTCAAGAATCCATTGGTGGCACTTTACGAAGAGTGAGAAAGCTATTTTGTGAAGGATTCTCTTGGTTTATTCCACTATGCAATGAAATTGTTTAACTTCGTCAAACGACTTTATGATGCGAACAGATTCAAGATGCCAGCTACTCCCCTGTTTGCATTTACTACTGCCTTGAAGGTATGACAAATCCATACTTACCTCATTTGTCTGACTCAAATCACCAAAATATTCTGCTCATCTTGGGTGAAACAACGACTAAATTTTTGTCACTTAAGCTTCCCGGATAACTTATTTACCAAACAGTGATTTCTTCCTTAAAGATATCACAAGTTATCCTATTGGGTTCAAGTCTCTTCTTCACCCGATTATTCAATAAAACGTTGCAACGATGAAAATCACCTTTTTGGTTGTCAATACTTTCTAGTTTCATCGCGATGGTCAACGGTATCCATTTTGCGAAAAAATACTGTTTCGGTTTGATATAATTTCGCACTAACTGGGATTTGTTTGATTCACTTCCATCGGTCTGTGATAATTTCAGTATGTAAAACCATTTAGACTAAGAAGTCGCAGCCTATTGTTTAGAAAAGGTTAAAATGACGTCCAAAACCTAGACGGCCACCGTGTGATCCGAACATACCACCTATGAGGCAATGCAACAGTGATCTACTCGGTTCAATCATCACAAATATTAGCTCGCTTTAAAATTTTTTTTCAGCGTAACCCAATTCTACCGTTCAATGTGGGCTTCAAATATATTATCACTTATAAATTTGTTGACCTGAAAATTTTATCTATGTGCAAATACGTTAATATACTCTAGCTTATGTTCCCTTGCCTCTCAGTTGTAAGAGTGTTCACATGTTTAGGTGGAATATTAACACAATATGAACTGAATTTTATAAAACTGGCTCACTAGTGCTTCTCTGTATGTGATGCATCGTTCATCTGCAATCAAACACATGCCACATTTGTCAAAAAGACTATCATAGAAGTGCAATCAATCTGAGGATGAATGCACAAGTATGCGATCAAACTTTTTCCAGATGCCATTGTAGGAGGGCATGGAAAACAGAATACCGAACGACGTTCACACAACTTTCGCTAGGAGGCCAATAACACAAAAGCATTTTTCCATAACAAGATCCCACCGAATTTAGTGAAGATCTGGTCTGTCCACTCATAGATTCATGGGGATTAAAATGTATCACATTGTCTTTATTTACTACAAACATTCCGCAAACATCCACCATTTGTGAAATTTTTAACAGAGTTAGATGAATGCGCAATGCGGACACAATCAGCGAGAAGTATAAGAGAAGTGGTTCTTGACAAATCGCCTCCCTTGGGTGACCACATCCCGTTCATGCTCAAACGTTTTTCCGATGTCAGACTGTGTTTAAATAGGATCAATTTGTGTTTACTCTCACACACAGTCCTCGATTCTGAGCCCGCATTTAAAACGCGTGTAACATCCCTGTTGAGAATTCTGCAGCGCTGGAAGCGGTGGAACATAATAAATAGAACATATGTATATATGTCGCGGAGAAATATACACAATCATGTGATGATGCTGAAGAAACATACACGAATAGTAGTCCATCGCTGAAGCTTCCTCAATCCATGTCAGCTTGCGCTACCCAG